TGACTTCCGAAGCAGCAATTTCAACAGGTGCTCTGGAGTAATAATCCCATGTGTTGTTTGCGAATGCCAGAGTGGCAGAAATCAGTCATTCTCACGCATATCCTCAAGTTCACTATCACTATCATTGCACTCCAGAAAAAAAAGGGCAGATGCCACGTACTGTGGGAATCGATGATATGAGATGCACGAATGAGGAAGGTTGATAGGTCACCTTAAAATGAGCACAACGATACGAAGTGGACGTAAATGATGCCGTGCATGACTTTTCCGTGCACTTTTAGGGGCGAAGCTCCTTATGGCGGCACCCGTTCGTCCCTCGTAGCCGTTGTAGTTTGTAACGAGTAAAACATTATGACCTCCAAGGTGATCCCGGGGAGAGACTTTTTCTGTGCGTTGTTGAACAATAAAAGATAGTGCTCAATGTGCATGCCAATGGCTGCTAATGGGGAATGAGAGACAGGAGCATTTGGCTTTTAGTTAACACGCACGCTGCGATCCCCATTGGCAGTCATTGGCATGTACATTGAACAATATCTGACAAGAAAGGGTTGCTACGTTACACTCGCTGAGTAACCTCGTTAGTTTTAGAAAGCTTTAGCGAGCGTTGAGCCGCAGGGCTATGAATACAGTGAACTAGTATATACCATAATTTCGAGGTGGTTAAAGGTGGAAAGTAGACCCGAAGCGCAAACAGTAAGAAAGTGTGCGTGTGCCACCTCTCGTTTAGTCCTTGGAATCTCCGCTGGATGGCGGTGCTTCTGTATGGGGAATAGTACACAGTATGCAGTGCGTGTGGAGAGGAAGAAGAAACTGCCGAACACTTGATAATGTTCTGTAAAGGGCTTCACCATATATAGTTCAGGATGATGGCACAGAGTTTTTCAAAGCGCTGGGGTTTAGGGACCGGGAGGGCAAAATAGACTTTAAGCGGGTAGACTTAACTAGAAGGAGGTTATCTGATTGGTGGCTAAAGTCAAGGCACGAGTGAAAATTAAACTCTTCACTGCAAAGTACGAATCCTCAAACTCACTTTTTAAAGAAAAAAAATAAATCTAGTTTTTTGTTCATTAAGTAATAAGGCTTGGTGGCGCTAGCCACCGCCCGATCTAAGGGTATCAGCCATATCCATGCATCCATCCATCCATCCTATATATGGTGAAAAGATGCGAGATGGTGGTACTTGGAGTGTTGAATAGATGGACGAACGGACACATAGACAGATGCATGGATGGACGCATGAACGGACGCAGGGGTGGCTGCATGGACGAACGCAGGGACGGACGCACGAACAGACGCACGCACGGACTGGCTGATGGACGCATGGACGGTCACACTGACGGACGCATGGACGGACGGAAGCAAGAACGAATGGACGGACGAATTCTTCGCCCCACTCTCCATCATTCACTCCATGGATATGCTGCCATTTTTTTTTTCTACCTTCAAACAGTTAAAAAAAATTGGCCCTGAATCTGCATGTTAAACCAAAAATGTCGTGGAAAGACGATAGCCTTGCGTCTCGAGAGAGTGAACAAAACGTTTACTTGATGTTCTGCGCAAGAAAATCAGTGAATGGTATTCGGAAGGCGCTGCGTTAGTGCCTCGAGCGTGTAGCAGAAACGAACGAGCGATTCGAGGCATGTTAGACACGAGAGCCATCTGGCAGTTCGAAAACAAATGAAGGCGAGCGTGTCCGCGAAGAAAGATGCGTGCCTGTCTCCGAGGTGATAAGGTGTAGAACGCAAAGCAACGGGCAGGTGCCACCTCCGTATCATCTTAGCAAAGCGTTGGAAGCACTTACCTTTCTGAGCATCGAATTGCACTGTCAGCGCAGCGTAATAAACACTACAGTCCTTAAAATTCTTCTGTGTGCCTTCTCTGGCATAACGGCCCACATACAGAACATCGGCGTGTTGTTATGGTGCGCCAGATATGCGCAATATTTGCTTTTTAATTGATAATCGCACAAGTGCGACCGTTGAATCTTCAGCAATATTGGTGGGCGCTGCAGATGGGGTTGGTCGTTTCGTGCCGTTTGAGGTATCGGTAAGGGCGGACAAACAGACAAATGCAGAGGCAGACAGACCAAAACTTTTCTTTTTTTTTGTCGAAGGCCCCCAAGAAAGACTTTAAAAATTGGTAGACCCCATGTGCAGTGCGAATCAATGATATGCGAAGCACGAAGGGGGTAGGTCGATATGTCACTTTAAAATAAGCACAACGTTACGAGGTGGGCGTAAATTGCGCCGTACATGACTTCCATGCCATGATTATCATGTCTGGATGTGTCATTTATCTTCACCGTCTTTTCACGTCAGATAGTAGCAGATTTTATATATGTGGAGCTAGCGAAACGGCCGTGAGCACGCTATGAGCGTAGCACGTAGTCATGTTTGACATAACACGCATATCATATTTATAATGTTTGGACGTGATATTTATCTTCGTCGTATATTCACGTCACCTGATACCAAATTTGATATATGTGAAGCGAAAGAAAAGACCGCTAGCGCGCTATGAGCGAAGCATGTAATCATGTTTCACACGACACGCATATTATGATTATGAAGTTTGGACGTGTTATTTACCTTCGTTGGTCTACACACAGCGCCTGATACCAAATTTGGTGCATTTTGAGCTGGTGAAATGGCCGCGAGCACGCTAAGAGCGTAGCATGTAATCATGTTTCACATGACATGCATATCTTGATTATCATGTTTAGACGAGTTTTTTACCTTCGTCGTCTATTTACGTCACGGGATACCAAATTTGGTACGTGGAGCTGGTGAAACGACTGCGAGCGTGCTATGAGCGTATCAATCAGTCATGTTGTACATGACACGCATGTCATTATTATCATGTTTGGACGTGTGATTTACCCTCGTCGTCATTCGCGTCACGTAATACCAAATTTGGTATTTGTTAAGCTAGCGAAAGGGCCGCGAGCGCATCATGAACGTAGGCATGTAGTCATGTTCTTAAATGACACGCATTTTATGATTATCATGTTTGCACCAGTCATCGACCTTCGTCATCCATTCACGTCCGGTAATACTAAGTTTGGTATATGTGAAGCTAGTGAAACGACTACGAGCGCACAATGAGAGTAGCGTGTTGTCATGACTAGTCCTGACATGAAAATAATTACATGCACGTCGTGATTTTAAAGTTGGGTTTGTCACTTATTTTTGCTGTGCAGTCATGTCATACCATACCAGTTTTGCAAAATGTCATGTGAACGAAACCACCGCAAAAGCAGCAAAACCTTGAAATGTAAATCATGACATTCATGACATACTTTCATGATTTTCATGTTATGACTAGTCAATTATGCTCGTCATAGAGTCATGCTATGCCATACCAATTTTTTTGGTATCGATACCATTATCGGCACGACCAGTAGAGCTAAAAGTCGTAGGTGGCTAGATAGATAGATAGATAGATAGATAGATAGATAGATAGATAGATAGATAGATAGATAGATAGATAGATAGATAGATAGATAGATACGCTCAAAGTCGCCGAAGTTCGCTAAGAAATGCTTCGCATTTAATATCCAAAGGAGAAAGGCAGGCGTGCCTTTCACTTTAGGATTGTTGTGGAAGGAAGCTGACGTCCGTTTCAAGGGCGGGCGAAGCCGTCCGAGGCACAGAGCAGTACTTTACCATTCCGCAGCACTCTATTGCCACGGGGACGTCGTGTGGCGGGTTCTCAAGTCCACGTGTTTTCAGGACCAGAGCCGCCACGGTGATGCGATCTCCATTGACGGCATCGGCTGCGCACATTCAACAACGTGGCCATGCGTCGTACACCACCGCGACGTTTCGCTTGCTGTATCTACGTGCTTGTAGATGCTGTAGAAAGGCACGCTCATTGGAATTTTGAAATAACCGATCTAATTAGTATCGCACAGTGGAAACTGCAGTTGACGAGCGAGAACACTCACACATAGCTTCACTTTCGGAGCAGCAATACGGTCGGCGGCATCGGCGTGCTTATGGTCCATCTAGGAGGTTTCTTGACCCTGTCGATTGGGCTGCAACTAAAACGAATTCATAACTTCACTCGAAAACTTCCGTTGTGGACGTTTGTTGACCCTCACGAAGCTGTTAGATAATGTTCCCGTCCGCTGCCCGCAGCAGACGATCCGCGCAAAGGAGCAGTGGCTGCTGCGGCGTGGCTGAGAGCGGAGTCCACGAACTGACGTCACACGCGCAGATACACACCTATACCTGCACAGGCAGAAATGCCGATCTCCCAGCTTTACCCGTCACTGTGCAGCGCGATCAGGGCAGGCCAGCTCTTTTTCTAGTTTAGCTCAGCGACATTGCCCTGGCTCTGTGTCCTTCGCTTTGGAAATGAACTGTGACTTGTCAACTTCCTCATAATGGTCGCTCTCAAAATGAAATCCGATAGGCATGGTTTCTCGGTGTCTGGCTGTATATTGGTGGTTAAAACGCGAAGATTCCGTCAACAGTGCAGACTGTGTTTAGAAGCAACTCTAAGAACGAGTTCTAAAAATTTCCGCCGTACCGACTATAGGCATCGGCATATGACAGAGAAATTTGTAGGCTAACAAAGCGTGTTTAGATACGCAATATCCACATTGCGTGACCATATAGTGACGCCACGGGTTTCCATTTTCGTACGCGGGCTCAATCAACATCATGGTGCATTTCCTCAAAAAGTGTTCCCGATTACATCGTCGTGCCGGAGGTCAGGATGCTGCGGGTGCATGTTGTGCGGATGCGAAATAACTGATAGCGCGCCGTTGGTTCTTTTATGTCGACAAAGACTACTCGCTATAGCTTAGACGGAACTTAAAGCGCATGCTGCGTATTAAGACAAGCAGAAGAAAGAAAAAAAAAAACATTCGAAAGCACAAACCAATATCGAAACTTCCCACAGGAAGTGGAGCTAGCGGGCGGAGTTGGCTGTGCTATCGAAAGGGTCGCAGAAGTGATAGTAACCATGGCAATAATAGCGTTGATAGCGTTCCCAGTTGAAGTGCAGTCGCCGGTGTGTTTGCGAGCGGTCTTTACGCATCGTGCCCCATGGCAGTGCAGGAGCAGCGGTATACGCTCTTTGGGTTTTCGAAGGAGCTGGACTGGAGGCCCCTGCACTTCGTCGATTCCATACCGGCGCACAGAATTTGCAACGCCTGTGGCTTGGTGCACAGAGTGACTGTGGTTCTGCCCTGTCGACACGTGTTGTGCAACACCTGCTACGCGCAGTGTCTCTCGGACAAGGTACACGGCTGCCCAATCGATGGGGACCTATTTCTTGAAGAAGATGCCCAACGGGGAGAATTTCCTTTAGATAGCCTGCTCAAGCGCAAGGTAAGAAGCGAGATGTTGCGATGGAAAGTAAACAATCTCATTAATTACCCAAGAAATGTGCCTGTTATTTTGTTCAATGCACAGATGTAGGAATGAATTTACGTGCACATCGACATGTCGGTGGACATCGAGCATGGCGAAAGAAGCGTTGCATCCAGTGTGCATGATGCAGCCCTTATGTGGTCGGCATAGCGAGGCTCCCGGACTTTACTCAATTCTTTCGGTCTAAAAAGGAGGCTCCTGGAGAACCACAAGATCTTTTAAAACAAGCTGTCACCAGGAATTCTGATTTCTTGATGTCGACACCTCGCCAGCCGTGTGCATAAGTCGGGAAACTCTCTCGTGAGTCTACTCACTCGTTCTCACTCCGATGGAATCATGAGTATGTGCGTGAGTGAGTCCGGGGAAGCGAAACTTGTGGCGAGTCTGAATCCGAATGAGTCCAGTGTAAGACATTTTTCGGTAGTGGGAGGAAGTGAGCCCGGCCCAGGAAAACTTAGGGTGACTCTGACCGAAAAGAGATTGAGTTAGTTCCACTTTTCTGCCAGCCTATGGTCCAAGCTTCTTGTCTTTAGCATCACTCGCATCACGCGCAGCTCGTTTCATTACGTCACAATATTCAAGGCATATCAGCGTAACTACACTAAACAAACGTTGTCACTCGCATCGCTCGCTTCACGTCGCATAACCTCTCGTATCTGCCTCCTTCACACATTCTTTAACTTTAGCAGGTCGGGACACCCTCTCCTAAAACGCCCATTAAGAACGTCCTCTCGCCTGTCCTATACGCACCCTCTGATGACCATAAAATGCCGTACGACGGCGACGAGTAGCTCATTTTTCCCCCATGTCATAACACTCTGGAATGCACTGCCAGATAACATTGTTTCTTGCAGGGACCGGTCAACATTTCGCGAAAAACTAACTCTTTTCGAAATTCAAATACGATGTCCTAACAGCACATTAACTCTTGTGTTTATAGTTGTTTTACTGTACTCCCGGAGTTTGTTTATCGCCTATTATATTTTTTGTTTTGTGATGCGTGTTATTTCCGCTTGTGTTCTTTATTTGCTAATACATTGTGATCAGTGTGTACCCTCATATTGTTACATTGCTTTAGGAACTTACAACCTGGATGTACGACCCCCCCCCCCCCCCCTCCCATTACGTAATGCCTTCGGGCCCTTTTGAATAAATGAAATAAATTAAATGAAATCAGCCTTACCTGGATTCACATTCACGTCTACTCGACACGTATTCCAAAGCAGTATCGTTCGTACATTTCAATTTTAACCATCAGATGTGGGAATTACGTAGGGGGGGGGGTTCCTTGTCTGCCCCCCCCCCCAGCTCTTCCAGAAAAGTTTTGGACAAATATATCTTACGCTGTCATCTCTTTCCAAAAAGATATCGTTACTCGTTCGCAACCACTCATAACTGTTATTGCAAGGTACTATATTGAAAAGAACCAACAATTAGCACTGATTACATAAGATATTGATTTTAAAAACCATTGACACCATGGTCAAGCAAGCTAATTCTGGACTAATGGACCTTCCATTGCTGTGGAGCAGTGGTGCTCGGCTGTGGACCCACAGGCCGCTCGTTCAGCCGCGGCGGTAACATTTCGATGGAGGCGAAATGCCGAAAGCCTGTGCGCTGTGCGATGTCAGCGCACGTTTACGAACACGAAATTTCCCAAGCCCTCCACTGCGGCGTCTCCCATAATCATATCGTGGTTTTGGGACGTAAATCACCAAATATTCTTAATTTTTGTGTGACGGACTCGTGAGCCGACTCACTCAGACTTAGATCGAGCTGTGAGTCTGAGTGATACCGGGTGTGTAATAATTTGGTGAGCTTGAATCATTTCGACGTAAGATTGCAAGGCTGTGCTTGTTTCATAGGCTCTATTAAAAATTACCTCAACTTCGTGGTAAACTCCTAAACCCTCCACACCGTACATCTCGTCGCCTTTTTAACTCTTGCAGCATCCAGCGGTTACATGGTTCAACGTCTTGTTTCAATAGATCTTTTTTGCCGATTGCCATTGCAGAGTGTAATATATTGCCTGATAGTGTTGTCAGCGAGCGTAACCCCATTGTGTTCAAGCTGTTGCTTACTGATCACCTCACGCTGAAATATTTATTACGAGCTTACACTGTTCTCTAAGTCTCGTTAAATTGTAATGTTTTTATTTTGCACCTAAACAGGTAATCCACTTAACTGAGATGTGTGTTTCCAATTTGTAACCTGAAAAGTCTCATGTATAACTTCCTGTGTTACCCCCACCCCCCTTATGTAATATTCCAGCAGGGGCCTTTAAGAGAAAAATAAATGATGAAATGATGATGAGTCAGTCCGCCTGAAGAAAATTTTCTTGAGTGTGAGTCTGAGTGAGTGCAGCTCAGAAAAAAAATGATGAGCGCGAGACACATTTTATGAGTTAGCCTGGGTGAGCTTCACAAGTTTTGCCGGCATATTGTCCTATGGTACAAAAAGACTAACCGATAAGATAAGGCTTGTGCGTTACTATTGTATCCAACTCGTGAGAAATATGGATATATAAATATTTTTAGATGAATTACAGTGAACTTGATAAAACACAGGAGTGCTTGTTTAAAGCACTCGAATGTTTTGTATAGCCGCATGCAAGGCAGATAGATTGATACGGCGTTTTCATTGGATGATGACAATTAAGTAAACATGTGCCGTAACTTTTCTTCAAAATTTTAATCGTTACAAAGAACTGGTGATGAATGTATTTCAAAGTTTATAACCTCAGATGTATGTACAGCTGGGGATGAGTGACGCTCTTAATTCAAGCGGGCTGTGGGGATATTGGAGCCCGCAGGCACAGTGCACCGTGCGTGGCATAACTGACAAGTTCCCGGCATGCACATCGTTACGTGACATGGCGCACCCCTTTTTTGTGGTCTGCTCGCACTTTCTAAAAAAAAAGCATGTTTTGAACATAGGCATAAAAAGAGTGAACTGGGCGGGTGTTAGTTAACACAGCAACTATTTTTACGCGCGCTTTCTTGGTCACTTTGGAGGCCGTAGCGTTGCAAGGCTCTTAAAAGAAGACACTGTGAAGTCTGAATGCGTCATGCAATCATTCGATGGTGCCAAGAACAAAAGATCAACACAGTAAAGGTAATTGTACCCACCACAGCGGTGGGTACACGGCTAGAGCATCCGCTTCCAATGTTGGAGGTATCGGGTTCGATTCCCAGTGCCCACCGGCAACCCACAGGTTTTTCGCAATGGGTAGAGAAGTACACCTACGTGGCACTCGGTTGTTTCTGGGTACTCATCTCGAAAGCGTAGACCCATAAGGTTCCGGGAAAAACCCTGGGTGCACGTTAGTGTTTTTTTTTCTAAATACACTAGAGGGAACTCTGTCACTAGTGGCGCTATTGAAGCTGCAACGCATGACGCTTCAGTGAGAATGATGGGCAGTATACGTGAATTTGTCTTCGTACTTTCGGCCTCGCTTGGCTTGGAGCTGCTTTGTCACGAAGTGACAAATCAACAAATGAGCAGCAGTTGCATTTCACCACCCTAACTTTTTAGTCCCACCAGTTTAAATCAGGTCTGAAAGTTTCAAACTGTCCGTTTTTTTTTTCATTTGAAACAAAACCACAACACAACAATAGACAAAGTTGTAAGTGCGTTTGACGCCCTAAAGCAGGAGGAATGTATAGACAAATGCACGTAAGCCCACTTCCTATGCATGGTCGCTGAACGACCGCAGTGCCAGAGTCCCCTGTAGTTAATTAAAAAAAAAGAACTCTCTGCCTCAACGCAACATAGCCTTGGTGAAATAGCGGAGCGTCCGTCGCTGCTGTGAGAGGCAGAGAATTGCAGCCGCCAGGCACCTACTGGTAAAATAAGTACAAGCGTCATTTTACCTTGGTGCTTGGCAGATCGAAGTTCATATAGTCGCTTGGGAGAACACCCACGCGATGGGAAATCGGCAGCATAAGAATGCGCGCGAGACTATTATTGAGGCCATTACCGTCATATCATTATAATGGTCACTGTAGTGGAGGTCACCGGATCATTTCGACCGCATGGAATAAGGTCGCAAAAACTGCAAAGAACTGGCATTTCTCTTCCACCTTAACGCAACCGCTGTGGCCGGGTTTAATCTGTATTCAAATAAAATAAACTAAACAAAGGAGAATCAGTTATAAATGAAAGTGTATTAAGTGAATAAAATGGGATGAAGTTTGAAATCAGATGCTAAAGTGGAATCCAAGTAATCGGTTAATTAGTTTTTTTAAATTTTGGCCCAATTGGTTGCGCGTATAGACTACTTAAGAATGCGAAGTAAATTAGCAATTGCTATCATTATTGAGTGTTTTCTACAGAATATTCATGCCCTGTGCTGCAGGTGAAGTGCTGGAATGAAGACAAGGGCTGCGAGATGATCATGGCTGCTTCGGAGCTACACCAGCACTTCCACGAAGATTGCGGCCATCACTCTACGCGGTGTCCGAAATGCTCGGCGTGCATTCTTATCAGCAATGTGCGTGCTCACCGAAGCAGCGACTGTAGCGCTGACGCACAGCTGGACACGGCCGGGACATTAAAACCGGATAACGACTCGTCTCAAGAAGCCGTGTTGGCCTCCTTGGAGGCCATATTGGAAAAACGCGTCGCAGAAGTGAGATCCGGGCTCGATCAACTTGCGCGCGAGATCATCCAGTGTGACAAGTTTACGGAGCTTACGCACACCGTCAATGACTTAAGAGAGGTGGTCATAAAATCATCAGAAGAGCAAATCTGCGCTGCAAACGAAGCTGGCATCGATGTCGCTAGAGAAGTTAAAGAAGACCTCGCGTGGCAAGGGGATCGGCTCAATGAAATTTCACTGCGCGTAACGACTTTAAGCGAGAAGGTGGAAGAAGTTCTTCGTGAAGCAACGAAGAAACCACTTGAGCAATCGCAAAAGAAGAAAGATGAATTGTGTTACGATGGGACAGCAGATGGGAGCTCACCGAAGAAAGTTTCCGAAACAGTGAGCGTATTCGAAGGCACTATGGGGAAAGCTTCAGAGCATGCTAGGGAGACCATTTCCCAAATGCCTTCTTCAAACACTGACTCTTCTTCGGTTTCAAAGACCACGGAGGTACCAACCGGCGTTAACCCAGCCATTTTGACAAGAGATTACCTTCCCTGGTTCAGCACGCTAAATGTTAAGCACTACGAGTTTCACGTCAAGGGAATAAAATTACTGAAAGAAAGGGCGATGTCAAACGGCTATGCCGGCAGTTACAGAGGCACAACATACCTGGGTGGATACTGTATCTCTCTCGGAGTGTACCTGAAGAAGAGTGGTAGTTCAATGTCAGTGCACGCCCTGGTACGCCTGAACAAGGGAGTGATTGACAGTTTCCTCCAATGGCCATTCAGCCATAGGATTAAGCTCACCTTCATAGACTCGTCAAAAAGTACGCACCACACATTTTGTGTTGCCACAATTGGGAATCTTTACGACAAACGGTTCGATCGACCGACAAACACAGCAAATGATGGGGTGTGTTCTGCGGCAGGATGCCGTATTGAGGGACTCGAACAGCAAGGCTACCTTCGTAGTGACGAGTTCTGCGTCAAGTGTGAACTTTTAGTTTCTAATGCTAACTGAAGTCTGCGATGGCAGCATTCGGAACTTAGTGGGAGTCGCTCGTAGGGCTGTTAAAACTCACCGAGGAAAATCAGTAGATCAATCTGAATCGCAACAAATATTTTCACAAGTGCGGCCAATGTCAACTTGATTTTCGCAATTCCCATGCAGACTATTTCATTGCTTCTTTACTTCTAATCGCATATGATTCAGTACATATTCATAAAAGTTATTTATATTAGTTTAGGTAGATTATTTAGTAGGATTTTCACACAGTGCCTCAGCAAATGCTTTGGAATTGTCCCCCATTCACCAGTAAACTGTCCTTCCTGTGATGGCCGACACTCAGTCATTATGAATTTCGGAAGCAGCCATTACAGAGATAATTCTAGTGGGCATCTGTCGCTTGCGCGCATATTCTGCGCAGTGCACAAGAAAATGAGCTTTGTCCGGAAGCTGAAGCCAGAAAATCCACGAAGACGTGCCAACAGCTATAAACACCCTCGTAGGTATATCCCCTATTTACCATACCTTATTGAGTCGAGTGGGAGCATGCACAGGAAAGCTTGGCCGTGTCGTTTTGTATGAAGTTTTGTAAGGATTCACCAGGCACCATGCTTAAAGCTCTCGCTACCTAAACAGTTTAGCTTACCTACGCCTGCGCTGCTTGCAACGCCAGCGCCGTGAAAGCCGGTGGTCTCTGTCGCGCAAGCGGGCTTTGTTCGTGTCTGTGTGTGTTTGCTAATGATAACATATGTAGAAACAGAAAAAAATAATTTCCGAATAAAATTTTTCACTTGATAATCAGTGTTGTGTCCTGTCATTTGTGTGCCTCATTATGTTTTCTCGTTCTTTTCGCACTGTAATATAACGAACTAAACTAAAGCGAGCTAAGGAGAAAATAACCTAAGTTTACTAGGAATAATACAGAAAGATAAAAAATGTAGGTGAACAAAATCGAACTGAGTAATAGCAGCGCTATGTTTCAGCTACGACGACCGCTGCCCAGCACCGCAAGTCTAATTCAGGGGAACTTGATCCGGCCTTACAACTAAAAAAACAAAAAACATGCTGGCCAGAGGTTTCTTCATTGAAAATTTTATTTACAAACCCGGAATTACTAAGCTGCCTTTTCTCGCTACTCGCATCAACGCCAATCGATCACAAATCCGAGCACAAGACAGTTAGGCAGCCATTCAGTCACCTCAACGTACATCAAAATTTATTATTCCCTCATTCTCTTTCATTATGAAACAAGTTACCAGGAGAAGTGGTTAATGCTGACACAACACAACCGTCCGCCCATCTCGTCAGTAATCTACCTCTTTATTTTTAAAATGCTGCTATATCTTATTTATGCTTCTCATTGGTGCTGCGAATTGTTGTATTTTTGTATTGCTATATATCAATTACATTCCTCACTCATGTTGCAAATTTTCGTAACCTTTGTACCTTTATTGATATTTTTTTAATTCTCACTGACAGTTTTGTACCCACTCTTGCTCGGGCCCGGATAGGGCCTGCAGTACTTTTAAATAATAGAAATAATAACTTCAAGGTCCAAGTCCATGTTTCCAAGCCAACCTTTCCTTCAATTTGTTTTTACCAAAGATGAAAACTGAACATAACCACCTACCCGTCTTCGTCGCCATAATCCAGGCTACATCTTCTAGGACTGCCTTGCGTAACATTGTATAATGATGTATTAACCGCTCTTTCCTATAAAGCCCCTCAGCAATGACAAAAAGACAGTGACTGTATGTATATATATATATATATATATATATATATATATATATATATATATATATATATATATATATATATATATATATATATATATATATAGAACGCTTTGCGCGTAACAAACGTCCACGTGCTCGCCTTCCAATGAGTGTCGTGGCGGCCAGCCATATGGGCCTGCCTGGTCAAGGCTCGTCTTTTCAGGATCTCCGGATACGCCTGGATCGTGTAGTGATGGGGCACCCATGGTATTCGCGGCATCCGTGGAGACATATGGGTGCGCTGTTAAGGCGTTCAGCAAGACGGGTGCCGTGTCCAAGCGATGACAAGAATGGGGAAAGCTTCCCCTGTGGATGTGGCTGGGAAACACATTTCGCCCGTTGGCAGGGATGTTTTGGCGTTGGTTGCTGAGGCAAAGTTTAAGCATATCTTGAGCATGGGGTTTGTACTAGGTCCGGCTGCGCAGCTATCATAAAGAGTGTGCCACTCTCGCCGCCATGGCTACTCGTGGTGCTGACTGACCCTCCCACGTTTTAATTCACACATATACCAAATAAAGTGGCTGGGGGTGATAGCCGCCGTAGTAGCTCAGTGGTAGAGCATCGAACGCTTTATTCGAAGGTCGCAGGTTTAGTTCCTGCCACGGCAAGTTATCTTTTCGCCCACTTTTCTATTTCCCATTTATATTACCATTTGGTCTGATAGCTTCTCTTATACTTTCTTTGGCTATATTGTCTTGCCAAACCGCACCTTTCGCACGCGGTTAGTGTCTTCACTGTGTCGCGAATGTTGCTTGCCGCGTGGTTTGCACGTTTCAGTGTGTTGCAAGTGTTGCAAGTGCAACATCGCCATGCCGTCGGCCCTATAATCACCTCACAATTCGGGCAGTGGTTCATCGAGCAGCAAAAGCGGTGTCGACGTGTGGTACGCTTGAATTCGACCCCATCGCCACCATGCTCAAGCGTCGAAGACGGGCGAACCCAAATGCGAACGATCTCACCTTGTGAAGGACGTCGCAGACGGCCTTCCGCAATGATAAGTATCTTGATTTTAAGCATGCCACGTTGACAAGCGAGCTTGGTATACGGCGGCTTGTCGACGCTGCATTCGCGAGCAAGTGCTACTTGCGCAAATAAATCGGTGACACGTGTAGATTTTTGTTTGCTATCATGAGTGCACCTATGCCTTTCGGAGCTGAGCCTAATAAATAGGTAATAATAACAATTATGCGCGTCAAGACCATTGTTTTTCTATCGGTCGTTGCGTGCGGCATATTAGCCGAATAGAACAGTATGTCAGTGCGTCTCTAGGGTTACTTACGATATACATTTAGGCCAAACCTTTGCTTGAATTGAACCTTCTTAGATTGCATTCGGTTTCGGTAAAAAAAAGTGTCGTGCTTAACCATGACACTGCCTGCCAGGAGTTACAATGAATCAGCAAAGGCAAATGGCATACGCGTTGCACACTCACGGGACGCTTTTTGACCTAAGGCAGGTTGACAAAAACTGCGTGCTGCAAGTGCCAGCGTATCATTGGCAACGCTACACACGGCGTACCATAGGCGATGCGGTGACATTGTTATAACCGCTGCAAGTCATTTAGCTCCAGTGGCAAGTTGATCGACGCAGAAAAAGCTCGATTGCAAGTGCAGCTGACCACAAAACACGATCATCCTCAGGAATGCAGATCGTGCAGCAGCTCGCCCAGCAAGCGGCTCTTAACGTCACGGCTAACGAGTGCGCCAGTGTTGCCCGGCTCTTTGGCCGCTCGCTAGTTATAACAATACGTGGTTATAAATTAGAGAAACGACTAAATGAGGTAGAATTTTGCCATCTTGACTGTGAACGTACAAGGATCAACCCACACAACACATATTATGATTGAAAACGGGGTGTCAGGGCCCATTTCGTGAAAGAATAATTAAGAAATAAAAAAAGACAATTTAGAAAATAGTGACAACAGTGGGCCGCACGATTGATTGATTGATATGCGGGGTTTAACGTCCCAAAACCACCATATGATTATGAGAGACGCTGTAGCGGAGGGCTCCGGAAATTTAGACCACCTGGGGTTCTTCAACGTGCAACGTGGGGTTCTTCAAACATTTCCACCTCCATCGGATATGCACGCGCCGCAGCCGGGATTTGATCCCATGACCTGCGGGTCAGCAGCCGAGTACCTTAGCCACTGGACCACCACGGCGGAGCAGTTGGCCGCACGATCTCGAACTCTTTGAACCTTTGAAGGCATTGGCAACCTTCCCGTCATTGTGGTCAAGGGAAAAAGCTCAGAACGAAAGCACATTTCGCACATTTGCATCTATTCTAAAAAGTCAGTAGACAGACCTAAAGTGTTTTTGTGCAAAGTATAATATCTGTTGCAAAAAATAAGATAATATTCTGTTTCACTAGGTACTCCACGAAGGGAACAATAGGGGAACCTGCCAGACCGGTTGTGTGTAAACGAAACTTTAGACAAGGAGCATTACAGCGAAGTCTAGTAATTGCAACTTCAAGTTCTCTTGTTTGACATATTTTACTGTTCAAATGGTGTCTGATGTGCTTAAATTTTATTGTGGGCATTAATGCCGTTAGTATTGGAGCAGAACTGTCTTCTAACATCATTTTTTCTGAATATATCTATTATGAAATGAGATGCTGACAATACGTGAGCAACCGGGCCATTGAAAGATATCTTCGCTTGAGCATCCGCCATTTCATCAGAAACTGGCGCTTATGTCCTGGAAGCCAAACCCAAATAATCAAATTTATACGTGGCCATGGGCCTTGGCAGAGGGTGCAGAAGGGGCATTACTATAGCGTCCCTCAAGCCTCGCCACCACTTGCCCTCATTAAGGCTACAGCAGCACTCGCCCTCCGCCAACCGCAAAGCAACACGGTTTCGCATCCCCTTCACTCAAGACAAAATCCATCAGATGTCCATGTGTGTGGGAAAAAATATTGATTTCGATGCCCTCAGAAAATGTTAGTTCCCATTTGCTGAGAGGAAGGAACACACCGATAAGGAATTCGTTAAAATTACTGCAGAACTTGTTGATGCTGTTAATTTGCAAATCACTAGAATGATCAATAAAATTTCTGCGAGAAATAAGGCACGAAATCTGGAAGGTGAAGGAAAAGAGACCATTCTATAGTAGGAGAGAAAATATCAATTCCGCATCTTTCTCGCTTTGGGATCCAACAGTCACAATGACTGTCCTAATTGGCGTATGTGCCAGGACATCACTCAAAACTGAGTTTAAAAATTGGTAGGGCATTGTTGTAGGATTTCCTAAAAAATATAATGTAAGTGTTTTTCGCTCTTTTCATGCCAGCACTTCTTTCCTGTTCAACCTTTTTTGTTGTTCTTTTTCTGAAACAGCTGCTGCATTTTATGCTAATACTACGTTTTCACGATAATAAATATTGAGTTTAAAGTGAGCCCTTGTCGTGTTTACATCCTTTAGTGGTCGTGCGTGTTTGCACTGTTCGTCTAAAGTATGAATAACGAAATAGCCTAGTCAGCTACATTATCCTCGTGATAGCCACAATTAATGCGATGAAGAAGGGGAAAAACACAAAGGGGCAGAGGTTGCTGGTTTATTATTAGAGCTCTTACTAAACATTAATCATACATCCGGTATGTATGATCCACCCGACTTATGGCCGATCGCCCAGAATGGGTAGGTGCTGATGATACAAGGACCATCATCATCATCCTTAACTGCACGAGACCAGGTAACACGCGAGCTCATAGGCTGTGTTCCAATTCTTAGACAGCACGTAGACTGTCTACGAAGACTGCTTAGAAGACCGCATCGAGCTCATGCTGTCCGAGAAATAGAACACATTTAGACTGCTTTTACGCGACAATGCGCCACCTCACGTCGAGAAGGAAAAGCTAAAATAAACGAACGTAACAGTTGTATTTTCTGGCTTATTTCGTGTTGAAATGAAAAACAAATAAACGTTACTCACATTGAGCTTCTGGAGAAGCGTCTGCTTGTGTGCAGACGACCATTTCGGCGAGATTCTGTCTATCTGAGGGATTCGATGAGCCGC